TCAACTCTGACCAGCATCCCAACAACATGATGCTGCCACCACCATGTTTCACAGTGGGGATGGTGTGTTCAGGGTGATGCGTAGTGTTCGTTTTTCACCACATATAGCATTTTGTTATTGGGACAAAAAGGTAAATTTTGGTCTCCTCTGACCAGAGCACCCTCTTCCACATGTTTGCTGTGTCCCCCACATTGCTTTCTCGCAAACTGAAAATGAGACTTCTTATGGTTTTCTTTCAACAATGGCTTTCTTCTTGCCACTCTTCCATAAAGACCAGATTTGTGGAGTGCATGACTAATAGTTGTCCTGTGGACAGATTCTCCCACCTGAGCTGTGCATCTCTGCAGCTCCTCCAGAGTTACCATGGACCTCTTGGCTGCTTCTCTGATTAATGCTCTCCAAGCCCAGCAGTCAGATTAGGTGGGTGGTCATGTCTTGGTAGGTTTGCAGTTGTGACAAATGCTTTCCATTTTCCGATGATGGATTGACCAGTGCTCCATGACATGTTCAAAGCTTGGGATATTTTTATTTTTTTTTATAACCTAACCCTCCTTTAAACTTCTCCATACCTGTCCTGTCTAGTGAACAAACAGCATCATGAAGGCCAAGGAACACACTAATGTTCTCTAACAAACCTCTGAGACCTTCACAGAACAGCTGTATTTATACTGAGAATAAATTACACACAGGTGGACTCTATTTACTGATTGGGTGACTTCGGAAGGCAATTAGTTCCACTAAATTTTAGTTAGGGGTATCAGAGTAAAGGGAGCTGAATACAAATGCACGCCACACTTTTCAGATATTTATTTGTAAAAACATTTGAAAACCATTTATCATTTTCCTTTCACTTCACATATTTGTACCACTTTTGTGTTGGTCCTTATCATAAAATCCATTTACCTTTTTTAGTTGTAACATGACAAAATGTGGAAAATTTCAAGGGGTATGAATACTTTTTCAAGGCACTAAAAACAGCACTGGAAAAACCTGAACTCAATTTGGAGGGAATTGTAACATATAGGAGGGGTCTTCAAAAAGTTTCCGCATTTATTGAGGTGTGTGTGTGTGTGTGTGTGTGTGTGTGTGTGTGTATATATATGTATATATATATATATATATATAATTAGAGTTTTTAAAAAGTGTGTAAACTTTTTGAGGAACACTCGTATATTGGTCACATAGTGTACCTAAAATCACAAACAGCAGCTGTAAGCAAAGTCCATTAGCTCAGTGGTGCTCCGAGGCCCTGAACTATCAAAGATCCCCTTTTCGTACACTAGCCACAGATCTGTTAAGCCATTGAATCTCCCATGATGAAAAATGGCAGCAAAAAAAAAAGGATTGTACTGAAAAGCCAAGTAACTGTCAGTGTGAAGCCATCATAGGCTGCCAGCCTTCCTACAAGTCCGAATATCACCTTTCTGCCCAGTTTGAGCTTTTTCTGACAGTATGAGATTGGAGCAAACGCAGAGCCCTGACCTCAACCCAAATGAACAGCTGTGGATGAATTGGAATGCCAACTGTATGCCAGGTCTGATCCCCCAACATCAGTGCCAGGCTTACTAATGCTCTTGTAGCTTAATAGAAGCAAATCCTACCAACAATGTTCCAAGCAAGCTGTTTGCAGGCAATGGATTCTGGTCCAGGCTTATGGGGAAAGCAGTAGGGATTGGAATGGGGTCACTGAACAGTGTAGCTGAGACTGGTTATGTCTGGAAGCTGTCATCTTGTGGCTGGGAGGTGCGATGATGGTGTTCATTACACAGTCTATTATTTAAACGGTGAACTCCAAGCACATAAGAGACACAAATGCAGTTCTGTATTCATTAATACATTATTTAGGGCAGGTTACACTGGGGGAATCGCACAGGAATGTGCTGTACGGTTTTTCTGCGATTCCCATGCAGTTCTGTGCGGTGCGATTTCAGGGCAATCATTTTGAATGGGCTGAAATCTCACTGCCCCGCACCATAAGTAGTACATGCACTACCTTTTGGAAACTCACTCCAACTGGCTCGCATGGAACTTCTGTACCATGTGATCCAGTGCGGGGTATCGGGCTGCTTTTGTGACCTGTGTTTGGGGTATCATTCACTTAATATTGACACTCACTGCAGATCATGAAACACACAAGGTGTGTTCTAGTGTGAACTGGCTTAAGTATCATTGCCTGTATTGCAGAAGCAGCACAAGGAACTGTTCAGGTATGCTGCAGTGCAAGAAGCATGCTGATTGCAGAAGAAAGCAGAGTGACAGATGAGCTCATTAGTCTCCTGCTTCTCCTATTTTCACTATCCAGAGGGAGGGCAGGGGACATGTAAGGGAAAGGACAGCAGAAAAAAGATTCAGTCCCTTTCCCTGCTAGGCAAAAAACAAAAATTCCCAGCTCATTTACCAGCCAGCCTGCAACAAACAAAATTGTCCTCACAGCTCACGTTAAAACAAGGGGTTTAGTTTGCACACATTTACAAATATATGTGTAAGGCTGGCCATATATTATACAATTTTCTTGAGAATTTTTCTTTAGATTTACCAAAAACCATATGAGGTCAAACCTAAACAACACTTTCAATTGTATCCAGTTAGACAGGCCCTTGTGCTACGTAGTTGAAGGTAATTCTAAAGGAAATTGGACAGAAAATTGTATAATGTATGGCCAGCCTATGGCCTCATGCACACAGGGCATTTTTTGCAGCCACTTTTAGGGGTGTCAGGCAATTTTTTTTTTTTTTTTTACTGCTTCTAAATGGCCCTCCATGTTATCCTATGTGTACATACATGTGTAGCTGTACCGTTTACCAGCAGGAAAATAAAAACCCAGGGCCAGTGCGACCAGGAGCAGGATAAAAAAAACGCTTGAAGCAGCTAAATGCGTCTAAAATGCTAGGTGTGTTTAGTGTTTGAGCGCTCATTCACTTCAATGGCCAGAATAAATGATCACTCCTGCCAATTAAATAAACGCCTAAGCGCTTGACATTTGTAAACGCGTTAGATATTTTTTCAAGCATCAGGCGTTTTTTCTGCAAAGATGCTGCTGCCAAAGATGACAGCTTCTAGGAGAGGTTTTTTAACGTTTTAACATTGGATGCTAAATATGTATTTATTTTTTTTAATGAAAATGATATCTTCCAAATGTTAATTTGACATCACACGTCTTATCACTGCAATAAGCATTTAATAAGTGCTTCTAGTCAAATCTAAATACCTGAGCAAACCAAGATTTATGATTTTCTAGTTTTTATTTGATATAGTTCAGCTTTCATTTGCTATGACATCATCAGTCCCATGTCCTGTACTCTGTGCATTGGAGAAAGGCTGAAGTGTGGGCTGTTGGTTCACTGCCAACTCTCCACTGCCCTCTGGTGGCCATTTAGGAAAACGCTAGTAAAGCTAACTAATACAGTCATTAGAACTTTATTTATCGTGTATAGTCTGTAAAAGCACACACAAAACACCTGTGTGATTAGGCTTTGACCGCAACAGCCATTGGCTCATGCAACATACTAGTTCCAAGGCTGATGGGACAATTAAAGTGGTAGTAAACACATTTTTTTTTTATACATATATCAAACCGTGGGCAGCACAGTGGCGAAATGGTTAGCACTTCTGTCTGGCAGCACTAGGGTCGTCGGTTCGAATCCCAACCACGGCACCACCTGCCTTGAGTTTGCATGTTCTCCCCGTGTCTGCGTGGGTTTCCTCCCCCTACTCCGGTTTCCTCCCACACTCCAAAGACATGCTGGTAGGTGAATTGGATCCTGTCTACATTGTCCCTAGTATATGTATGTATGAATGTGAGTTAGGGACCTTAGATTGTACGCCCCTTGAGGGTTAGGGACTGATGTGAATGTACAATATATATGTAAAGCGCTGCGTAAATTGACAGTGCTATATAAGTACCTGAAATAAATAATGATAAAAATGCTGCGCTACATATACAAAATTGCACAATACCTATAAAATAGGTGATTAGGTTTTTCTGCGCCTTCGGAATACAGCTGAACCTGAGGCGGTTATCTGGAGGGAGCATCCTTTAGAGTTATCATTCAGCAATTTGATCTTCAGAGTCCATACATTCGGGACCAAACGTGCAGTTAGACCAAAACATTATATAATGTGAGGTCACACTGCTGGAGGTGAGCAGATATATGGTGGAGGATGTTTTACACTGGAATTCTGACAGACGCACGCGGTGGTCATTATCTCAAGGAGAGGTCACAGGAGAACACATTGCACTTTAATTAATTAATATTTTTTTTTACATATTTTTCTTTGAAGTCACATCATTTTTGTTTTTTGATATCACTGTTCTATGTGTATATATTTTATAGGTACTGTGCAATTTTGTATAACAGTGATATCAAAAAAGAAAAATGTGACTTCAAAGAAATATATGTCCAAAAAAAAATTTAATTAATGAAAGTGCAATCAATTGTGTTCTCCTGTGACCCCTCCTTGAGATAACGACCACCGCGTGCGTCTGTCAGAATTCCAGTGCAAAACATCCTCCACCATATATCTGCTCACCTCCAGCAGTGTGACCTCACATTATACAATGTTTTGGTCTAACTGCACTTTTGGTCCCGAATGTATGGACTCTGAAGATCAAATTACTGAATGATAACTCTATAGGATGCTCCCTCCAGATAACCGCCTCAGGCTCAGCCGTATTCTGAAGGCACAGAGAAACCCGCTCCCCTATTTTATAGGTATTGTGCATTATTGTATATGTAGCACAGCATTTTTTCCATTGATATTCATTATTTAGCTCACTGCGACATGGGTTAGATGCACTAGCGGCTACAGTATTCAAATTATACTTATTTATATTTTGTATTCACCATAGTAAGCACTTTAGTTTATTCACATTTACATTTTTTTTATACTTTTACTTACAGGTAAGCTTATAATAAAGCTTAGCCGTAGGTAAAATGAATATCTCCTGCCCCTAGGTTCATATATGTGCGGGTGGTGCCCCTGCGGATCCACATTAAAACCTGTGCAGCCACACCACCCGCACAGAGAAATGTGGACCCGCGGGTGGGTGCCATTAGTTCTAATGGCATGCTGGCCGCACTGGAAAACGCAACCGTACTGGGAACCGAGGTTACCGTGCGGCCTGCATTTTCCAAAGAAGTGCAGGGACTTCTTCCCTGCGTGACAGGGGAGTCCATTCAAATGAATGAGCTCTCGTGCCCATGCAAAACGTGGCCTGCACGGCCGCATATATGTGAACCGGGGCTCAATGTGTACCATTCAGGAGCTATTCGCTCTTTTTGAGAGCCGGTGCATGTGCTCTGAAGGAACGGCATACCTGTGCTGTGGCCTGGGACACTTACGTGCCGTCACTGGCTGAGTGACATCATCACGGCTCATCTAGTGCGAAGGCTGGAGCTCATGAACCCATAAGGAAGACCAGGTGAAGATGGAAGCCACTGGAGGGCTTCGTTTTAAGGTAAGTCCTTCCTAATGTGCTAGTTATTCGATGCATACTAGCACATTATGGTATTACCTTGCAGGGGATTTTTTTTAATTATTGTTTTTTAAGCTATGGTTTACTGCCACTTTAATAGGTTTTTTATTTTAATAAATAGTAAACAGAGAATAGCTTAAAATACAGTAGCTGCTTCCACCATCGCCTAATCGTGTGTGTTTCTGGCTGAGTCTTTTTAAAATATTGTGCTTGATATATTCAAAAAAATTTGTTACATCTAATCCAAACTCTACATACAGTATTATTATTATACAGGATTTATATAGCGCCAACAGTTTGCTCGGCGCGTTACAATATAACGGAGAGACAATACAGCAACAATACAGTTCAATACAAGAGGGTTAGGAGGATCCTGATCCTTGGAGCTTACAATCTAAGAGAAGACCTTTTCCTTCCATCTGCCCACAAAACTGCATTAAAATGGTAAGTCTTGTAGCCCTGGATGGGTGAGGGTTGAAATTCTTCCTTTATAGATTGTATCTCATTTGTTTGGATACGGGGTTTTTTTTTTTTTATGTGGGGTTGGTGTTGTAAAAAGACTCCCAGGCTCCTGTATTCCTGATGGTGGTGAAGGTTTCGTTTATCAGTATGATAGTCATTGGTGCTGTGTTGCAATAACATTCAGGTAATTCATTTGCCGGTCTTTATAGATTTCAAGAAGGAAGCAAGGTCTAGCCAATGGGTTTTGGAGGATGTGAACTTCCTTTCTTTCTTTTCGTGTGTTTAACATAAAAAGACAGTAAAAGAACAGAGAATAGAACATAAATGTTCATATGCTAAAAAATAAAATATTCAATATATGCAGCTGCAAAATTCATCAAATAAAAACTGCTGTTTGTATTTGAGAGGTGTCATAGATTAATCACTAGAACATTATAACTAGTCACTTAAAATGGCATTATTGACAAAAAAAAACACCCAAAAAACAATCAAACACTGCCAATCTTTCCTTTGTGTGTATCGCTCAATATTTACATGGTCCCCTATTTTTTTATGAATTGTATATCATAATAGGTGAATTACTTTGGCTCCTGTAATCTGCAACCCAAAAACAGTGTTACCAATAATGAGGGGCCATGCACAGGGGCGGACTGACAACTCATGGGGCCCCCGGGCAATAGGGGATCATGGGGCCCCTGTGTCCTTGCCCAAACTCAAAAAAGCCTATAAAAAAAGGTATCTCATGGGGTCCCATACTAAGCCCGGGCCCTCAGGCAGTGCCCGAGTTTCCAAATGGTCAGTCCACCCCTGCATCATGCACGAAATTTACAGATCAACTGTTAGTAATAAATCCAAACCCAAAACTGTACAATATTGCAGCTTACTAGTTATTAGATGTGGTGGCTGCATTAGTTTTATTTTCTTAGGCTTTTTCCCCCTCTATTTTTAGCTTGTGCTCTGGCCAGCAACACACCTCCTGCAATAAGGTGCCTCCACTCTGGCTGAAGGAGCACAGGGACAGCATTGTCAGTTTTGGGGGAAGGTGAATGTCAGATGTACTAGCAGATCTGGATACACTAACAAACTGAAGCCAAACTCCAGCTCACACTTTGTAAGTAGTTAAAGCAGTTTTTTTTTTTCCTTTTGGGATAAAGGTTTTATATAAAAAGCTGTAAGAACCCCTGTCAGTGGTAAATTGTTTATCTCATCCATGTAACTGTTGCATCTGCAGGAGAGCTTGTTCTTTTGAAAAAAAAAAACGGACTTACTTGTTGGATCACCAGGTGAAAATAGAAGAAAGAAAACCTAAAAAGGAAATGAATGCAGTCAGTCACCACATCTATGAATTGGTAGGCTGCAATATAATAAATGTCTGCTTTTTGGTTTAATACCACTTTAATTTCACTTGTCAATATCTCTCAGATCTCTTTTTCTCATTTCAATTGTATTATGTGGTCCTACTTTTCCCCTCTTATTCTGAAGATTACTTAATAGATCTGTATTTTCTACCACCAAATGCCTTGTTCTCTTCTCTCCTCTGCTCCAGTCCAGTTTTTTGTTTTTCTCCCCCATCCTTTTTCTTCCCTCGGCCACATATCACTTTCCAGCTGTCATTTCTTTTTCAGGAACATTTTTTTTTTTTTTTTTTTTGCATTACGAGAGTCCTATAAAAAGCAGCTTAGTAACCATAACTGTGTTCTATGAAGAGTGACACACAAATAATAGACAAAATTATGTTTATTGTGAACAAACAATAGAAAAATACAGACATTTTTCCTCATTAAGAAACATCAGATTTTGATATAAAACTATTTCAAATCTCTTCTACAATGTTCTGAACTATTTTTTTGGCAATATTTCCTCAGATAAAAGCTATTCAGACATTCTCTGAGCCTGCACAGTGGTTCTTACTGCTTGTGATACATTGTATAAGCTGCATTCAGTTTCTAGATAAAGGGAGCTGAAACAGGGACACAAACATCTACTGCCATTCATTTCTACCTGTTGTCTGTATGAATGCCATTCTCTTCACTTGGCGCAATGGGAGATCCTCCTATAAAGTCATCAAAAAGGTGAGAAAAATAAAGTTGATAGGTGGCCGTCGACATCTTGTCCCTGTACAGGTTTATTGGCTGCTACTATTCACATGCTGCTGTCAATCCCAGTGGCAGGAATCCGTAGATTCCTGCCACTGGGATTTGCAGCGTGCCAAAATGCCTGTGTGAAAGGGGCTTTATAGCATCCCTCAGCTTTTGTTTGGAAATGTTAAACATGGATCTAATGGGGAGTGCTGCCTGCACCGCCTTGTAAACTGCTCCTAATTAACAAAGAGAGATGCAAGCTGCTGTGTGATTTTTCTATGCTGTGTCTGTGCCAAACATGGCATAGAGAGCAGGAGGGCTGCTTGAAACAGATTAATCTGCTCTGGTAATCTGGTGCATGCCACTTGCGGCAATTTCCTGCACCATTATCCTGCATGAAATAGATATATATATAGTATATATATATATATATATATATATATATATATATACACACACACACAGTGCTCAGCATAAATGAGTACACCCCAACAGATTCATCAGCAAACATTTACTTTACTTTCCTTTCAGAATCAATATTTTCTATGGGACACTATACTACAAAAGGCCATTGATTGCAAACTAGATTTGTTAATTTGCACACACACAAAAACGTTTTTTTTCCTTACAAATTCATTCAAGACCATATTGCAAAAATGAGTCCACCCCAATGAAAGTCTTAGAAGCAAAGCTAAATTTTAGACAACAAAATCCTAATTAACAAGAATTCAACTACAGGTGAGTCTAATTATTCATTAAACAGGTGTCCAGCAGACAGTTGATTATAAAAGGGTGTTACTTAACAAAGAAAACCCCTCCCCATTTCATGCAGTCAGCAATGTCACCACATGGAAGAGAAATGTCACAAGGCCTGAGAAAGAAAATAATTTCTTTGCACAAGAAAGGTGAAGGCTACAAGATCGGCAAAGGTTTATTAACTGTCAGAATACTGTAGCAAAAGTGCTGAAAAAATTTAACAAAGATGGAACTGCAACCAATTCACAGAGACGTCCAGGCCATCCACGGACGTTAACACCTCAAAAGGAGCATCCTCTGATGAGAAGGGTTGAAGAAAATCGCCATGCAAGTTCACTGCAGTTAGCTAAAGAAGTAAACTGGAGTGATTGTTTCCTTTGACACAATACGGCATACACTGCAGAGGAATGGCATTCATGGGTGTCGTCCATGAAGGAAGCCTCTCCTAAAGCCCATGCACAAAAAAGCCCCCTTAGAATTTGACAGGGCCCATGCTAAAAAAAGAAGACTACTGGGACTCTGGAGTGATGACACCAAGATAAATGTTTTCGAAACTGATGGCTTCAAAACTGTATGGTGTCGCAAAGGTGAGGAGTACCCAAAAAAAATGCTTGGTGACTACTGTGAAACATGATGGTGTTAGTGTCCTATTGTGGGGCTGCATGAGTGCTGCTGGTGTTAGGGAGCTGCACTTCATTGATGGTATCATGAATTCACAGATGTACTGCTCTATATTGAAAGAGAGGAAGCTATCATCACTCCATGATTCAGTGGCCAAGTATGTCTCCTGATCTGAACCCAATCGAACACCTATAGGGAATTCTGAAGAGACAAGTTGAGCATCACTCTCCATCCAGCATCCAGGCTCTAAAAAAGAGGTCGTTCTTGAAGAATGGAAAAAGATTGATGTTGCAATATGTCGCCAACTTGTTCATTTCATGCCTAGAAGACTTGGTGCTGTCCTTACAAATCATGGAGGTCATACAAAATACTAGATGGAGTTGTTTTTGTTGTGGGGTGTATTCATTTTTGCATCAACTAATTTTAGTAAAACTGAAGATGTTGTAATCGAAGGTATAATCCGATCCATTATGCTCAATCCGCAGATCCAATCTATTTTGCGGGGATCGTTGGCTTGCTTTAAAAAAAACTTTACTTTTCGTGGAGCTCGTGGAGAGGGTCCAGTGTCACCCAGTGCAATAGGTGTCACCCGGTGTGGCGCACATCCTCCACACCTGCCTAGGTACGCCACTGCCTGTGAGCCTGTGATTAGACCTGAGACACAAGAACCGGTGATGACCAGGGCACCACTAATGCAGAAAGAAGGAAAGGTGTAAAGCTTAGTTTTATTGGACTCAAACCCCTTATGGTCAGCTTCACTTCCTCTCCAACCTCATTGTATCACGTCTGATATAATGATCATACAATGAACACCATTAAGCTGAGCTGTACTTAACCATCA